TTACTCGGGAAGCAGCTGAGCGCCGGCAGCTCGACCGGCGGGAGCTTTGGAGCTGCCCAGCGGGCTTGTTCTGCCCTGGCGTTCGGCGGCGGAGGCATCTGCGCTCGGGGCGTCGGCGGCGCGTTCGCCAGGGCTGGCTGCGGCGATGGCATCTTGTTCGCCAACAACGAAAAGGCGACGATGCAGAACCTCAACGACCGCCTGGCCTCCTACCTGGACAAGGTGCGGCTGCTGGAGGGGGACAACGCCGACCTGGAGGGCAAGATCCGGGAGGGGTACGCCAAGGGCGGGCCCAGCTGCGAACCACGGGACTACAGCTGTTTCCATAAGGAGATCGAAGACCTTCAAAACCAGGTAAATCATTGTTTTTCAAGAAAATTCTGATGTTTCTTTGGGCTCTGCTCTCCCATGTGGATGGACCAATGCCAAATGGCGGAGGCAATAGCCATGTCTCTGGCTGTGCCCACACAGTGGTAGTTAATATGAAACGGACGGTTCCAGGGAGGAGGACACTGCATTTACAGGGAACTGAAGTTCCAGCACAGCTGCTCCACCAAGCTGACACGCGGGTTTCCCCGCTGTAATGCCCTCTAACTGCTTAATAATCCCAATATACGGAAACATAAAACAAATGGGTTGCATCACCCCAGGTGGAAGTTTCCTCCAGGGCCTTCTGTAGCCAGAGGAAGCCATGAGCCCAAATCTCTCTCCTGCATCTTCTTTTCCAGATCCTCTGTGCAGCCATGGAGACTAACAAAATCCTTCTGAACATCGATAACAACAGGATGACCGCTGATGACTTCAGAGTGAAGTGAGTACGGTCCTGAGCTGGACTGGGGGTTCCCACTGCCCGCGGAAGGGCAGGTGAGCGATGGTGGTGGGCAAGCCCTAACGCTCTGCTGGCCACGCTGCCGCCCTCAGAAAGGCCTGGGTACCATCGACCATGGTCATGGCATTGCACGCCTGAAGCCAAAGAAGAACTTGTCCTGAATTTTTTCTCCCCAAAGGCAATCAAGGGCTCACGGTGGTTTACTGACATGCTGACTTTTCTTTATCGCCCGTGGCCGAAGGTACGAGACTGAGTGTGGTCTCCGGCAGAACGTGGACGCAGACATTTGCAACCTGCGCCCTGTCCTGGACCAGCTGGCCAGCTGCAAGACCGACCTGCAGCTGCAGTGCGAGGCTTTGACCGAAGAGATGTGCTGTCTCAAGACGAACCACGAGGAGGTTAGACTGCCCCTTTCTCTGCGAGAAATACGAGCAAGAAGAAGGAAAGTCCCCTCGAGTGTGAATATTACTGATGTGCTGCACGTGTTCTCTGCAGGAAATGAACTGTCTGAGGAAGCAGGCGACTGGAGATGTGAGCGTGGAGGTCAACGCCTGTCCTGGCCCAGACCTGAGGAAGATCCTGGAGGATCTGAGGTGCCAGTATGAAACACTGATGGAGCGCAACCGCAAAGAGACCGAGCAGTGGTATGCCTGCAAGGTACTAGAGAGGTGCAGAGCTGTTCCCTGCTCCGCCTTTGGGGGAAAAGGGGAAAACGTGAGATTAAGAACACTTACTGGAGATGTCTTAATATCAGCAGTTGTGTCACAGATGTGCCCAGCATCTCATTGTACTGCCCAATTTCAGTGCTCTGCTGCTCACGGCAGAGGGGCCACTGCACGCTGTTACTGGGCCACATGGAATAAATGGGAGGGGTTCAGATTTGGAAATGCTCCGGTTCGGTGCAGGGCGCGCACAAGCAGCGTGGGGAAGCCCCCGGCACGACGAGATGCTGCGGCAAGGTGAGGAAAGGGCTGCTCTTCTCTAACTTTGCAGGTGGAGGAGGTGAATCTGGAGGTCATCACAAGCAGCCAGGAGATAGAGTCAAGCAACAAACAGGTCACTGAGCTGAGACGTCAGCTGCAGGCCCTGGAAATCAACATCCAAGCCCAGCTCACCATGGTAGGTGACGCCGTAGGATCCACATCTCAGACTCCCCAGCTCTCGTTAGAAATCCGCGCGACCAGAGTGGCACCCGACGCCAGCCGGGCCGAGCGTGCAGCACACCCAGGTACCTTTGTGTTGTTTCCCTCCTCAGAAAGAAAACCTGGAAGCCTCTTTGGCGGAAACCGAATGTCGCTACAACAAATACCTGGCGGAGCTGCAGAGCCAGATCTCCTGCGTGGAGCAGCGCTTGGCTGAGATACGCGCGGAAACCGAGTGCCAGAACCAGGAGTACAAGACCCTCCTGGACGTCAAGTGCCGCCTGGAGCAGGAGATCCAGACCTACCACTGCCTGCTGGAGGGCGGACAGCACGACATCATGTACGCAGCCCACGGACGGGCGCGGGCGCAGTAAAACCTCTCTGCTTTCACTTACAGGGATAGGGAAATTCGGGATACAAGCGGTAAAAGCAACACTGTGGTGAGGAACCAGTACAGACCTGCTGCCAGACAGGGAAACCACGTGGCACTTGAGGATTTGGCTCTGCTGCACGTCCAGGGTACAAGCCAGAGATCATTGCCTCATCCTGGGGGACCTCTGGGACCCCCAGAGCCGTGGCAGGCACCGGGCAGGGGGCAGGCAGGTGGCACTGCCAGTGGGGCAGGGGCTGTTACGGAACACCGTCGTTTAACTGAGTTTTACGGGCTTTGCCACAGCCAGACAGGATTAGGGACTGGCAGTTAAATAACCGAAACAATAAATTATCTAAACAGTCTCAGTTTCACACAACAATTTTAATTAAAGTTTTGGGAAATTTAATTTGTATGCAAAGCAGTTGGCTCTTCCCCGCCTCCCGTTGACGGGGGTTTTGAAGAAGCGAGGCACGCTGTTCATCTGCTAAATGGCTGCACGCACACAGAACCAGCCTGAGCACCCACCCGCTCCATTAGCTTGGAAAAAGAGGTATTTTAATGGTGGGGCTCTCCTGGACTCTCCAGTCCTAAATTAGTTAAATGAAAAATCAGTTCTTGTTCCAAACTGCCAGCTGCAATGGATGAAATGCCACTGTGGGAGCTGATCTCAGCCCCAGGTAACCCCGAGCGCGTCAGGATGGAAAAGCACTGGCTGCCCGCAGACAGGCGGGGGGAGCTCGGGCTAATTGTGGCTCTTAATGACCCTGGTGGTCCGGCGGGGAAGGGGCCGGCAGTGACCGCAG